AATTTGGTCTTTAGTAAAACATGAAATATGAATTTCTATGAGTCAGCTTTCCATAGACATAAAGTTTGCCTCATTTGGAGTTCGGAGCAAAGAGTTATGTCATTTTTACCAAAGGTGCGCAGAACAGCCTGGCAGCAGTGAAGTTCGACTTTGCTCTTCATTTTAGACCCACCAAACTTAAGAACTGGACTTCTATTAAAACATAGCATATTTAGAGCTTTGAATTAGCTTTCCAAATCTTCAAACGGTTCATCATTTGGAGTTCGGAGCAGAAAGTTATGGCTGTTTTACCAAAGTAGTGCAAAGCAGGTCAAGAGAAAGGAGCATTCTGCCCAAACTTCGAGCGCTCGAAGGGCTTAGTTCGAGCACTCGAACTTTGAGCAAAATGCTCTCCGGGATCCATCACTTCAGCCCCTTGCTCCTTGATTCCCTCATTTCTGATTTCCATCTTTATGGGTTGGTTGGAGATGTCTTTTGGTGGGAGTTGAGCCTTATTTGGGGGAGAGGATGTCTACAAGGTGAGGGGAACCACACAAACAATGTCATATCTCAATCTTAGCAATATTTTTGGAGAGAGAAATATGAGGAGAAGATAGAGTTCTTGAAGCTACAAGGAGGGAGCTCAAAAATGGAGGTTGCATCCAAGCTTCTTCCTTCTTCTAAGGCTCCCATGGGTAACTAAACCTCCATCTAGGGAGGTGATGAGGCCCCTTCCTTGTAAGCATGTTCTAATTTAGGCTATATTTTGGGGATTACAATGTATATTCTATGGTCTTTTCATAACCAAGAGCACTTCATTTATTGTAATGAATGTTGATATATGTATGGATGATTTCTGTAAGTTGATTGTCTTGTTTTAGATGATGTCTTATATTAATTATATTGCTTGAGTTTTCATGGTGAGAATGGAGACAAGGTTATGAAATGGTTTAATGGCATGTTGATAAGTACTTTGATAGATCATTGCTTAGGTGATGCCTTTGATGGTCTATGCTTGATTCTTAGCTTCATGTGCATTCATCATTTAATTTAGGGCTTGATAATCTTTGACTTAGTAAGCATGTTCTAGGCTACATTTTAGTTTAGGTAGTTGATCATGTGAATCTTTGATGGGTTATTCTTGCCCTTTTATTTAATGAACTTCTTGAGGATATTATAGCAACCAAGTGTTGCTATGTATCATGACCATAATATATATTGTTTTTCCCCCAATTTAGCTCTAATATAGCATGTGTATAGGGATGGAGGCGGATTCACTTCCCTAGTCCTCTTTACTTGTATTTCATCTCCTTTAAATTCTTGCAAGCTCTTATTTTATGTATCTTAATTTCATAGCTTAAATGACAACCAACAAATCCTTTATGAATACCCCGTATCATTCTAAAAAGACTCTAGACACTTAGGTTGTCATAGATTAGCGCAGTCTCAGTGGTTCGACTTACTCGACCAATAGCCCTATTTTACAATGATTCGTGCTATTGCGAAGGTTGATTTATTATAGATCGAATTCTCAACCGATCAGGCCCGTCGATTGACAAATTTTGTAGAGGTCGGATCGAGGTTCAAGGCCCGTCGATCGACAAGCTTTATAGAGGTTAAATCGAGATTCAAGGTCCGTCGATTGACAAATTACTCAAGGCCCAAGGTCCATCGACAGAATGTTGGCCCAAAGTTAGATACCCAGTGATCGATTATTGTTGAGGTGGACTTTGTCAAAGTGTTAACTGTTTGACTTGACCTTTGGTGACGTGGCTACACCACATCCACAACTATAACAGTCCTTCTCTCTCTATATATAGGTATAACATATATATATATACACACACACACACACACACTGTAGAAGTTCTTCTCTTTCCGTTTTGCAGTTGTTCTCAGTGGATTGTGCGATCACCGGTCGGAAATCGGAAAAAGTATTTTCACATCCCTCACTTTTTCCATTTCAGTCTACGAATTTCTTCAAATGCTCATATGATTTTGATTCAAATGTATCATTATTTAGTGAGAAATGGTTGATTTTTTGTGAGTGTTGATGATTGTTGATCTTTAGAGATGCTATCGGCATTTCATCCAAAGTGTGTGTAATTTTTATAGAGTAAAGTAGCTTAGAGTTCTTATGCTTTTCTTCATCACCAATATCATCTCCCTTTCTTATGTATATGTGTGTGTGTGTGTTTGTATGTCTTTCTCTCTCTCTGTATATTTTATATACGAGAATATAAAGAGTATCATTTTAATTTTTTATTCTTTTCGGTTGAGTGAGGTCCGATATGATCGGATTGTTGATTGTGGATCATTAATTAATTTCTTGAGGCCAAATTGCACCACTGTTCACACAATGAGCCTAACTTTCGTTAACAAGCTGTTAAATATAATGAGGAAAAACAGTGTTATGGAATCTTTAATACCAAAACTACCCCCATCGATTTGGGTCTACTTCTTCAAATGGTCAATTCATATAAGTACTCTGGTCATCCTCCATGTGAAACCCCTCTTCCAGCATGTTCTTCCTTGGAAACTTCTTCCTCTGCCACTTTAATTTGAATTGATCCATCTCTGATTCTCTGCTATATATTTTGAATTTTACTCTAGTTTTCTTGGTTGTGTGCCTTTGAATTTGATTGAATGGTTTTTGAATAGTCTAAAATAAATAAATAAATAAATATAAATATATATAGAGAGAGAGAGACACACACACACAGAGACTAAAGTCACACTATCTAATTAATTTTAGAGTGTCTACTACGTTGGTGTTTGTAGGGCTCTTCTAGGAAGTGTAAGTGATTACTACTCCAAGCAGGTCAAGTGTCCACTGGTGGTTGTGAAGCAGCCTGAGTATGTTTAAGTTTTAAAAATGCAATTTATGAGTTTAGTGATAGTGTGATACCATCTGCTGTATCAATGTGGTTTTATTTCTCTCGCTATCTGCCATAGATGTTTAACATGTTATAGAAGTAGTATTTTTTATTTTTTATGATGATAAACCTGTTGAATTGTGATTAGCAATCCTTTTATGGTAGCATTTTTAAAAAAAGGAAGCATTTTATAGAAAGTTATAAGGCAAAATTCCTTGTAGTAGCATTGTAATCATGTTTTTGGCATAATATCATATAATTATCTGGTTAAAACATCAAAAAATATGTATTAATGTATTCTTTTTTCTTTTCTTTTCCCCAAAAAAAGGGCTACTCCTGATCCACCTTGAAGTCCATTTTAATTGTATTTATTTTTGTTAAAATTGTTTTTTTCTTTCCTTTTTGTTGTGTGTTTCTTCTGGTTAATTTTTTATTTTTATTTTTTGGTTATGTAAATACTCTCTCTCTCACACACACACACCCCACAAGTGCCCCACTCTGTTTCTTGTTATCCTGTTGTTTATGGAAGGGTCGAATTAATTTTTTTACTGTATTTTTTATTTTTGGTGAGTTGATTTATTTTTTATTTTTTGGTGAGTTGATTTTTTTTTTTTTTTTTATATATTTATTAATGTTCACTAAAAACCCACAATGTGGGGTCAAATTGTGATATATGTTCTCATGAAGTATTATTTTTTTTTCCTTAAAAAAAGAAGATTGAGTGTATATTATTCTCTTGCTGGAGGCATAATATCACATGCTCATTTACTCCTTTTTAATGCTCTATCGGCTCGATTAAGAACTAATCAGTTCTTCTTTTTTCAAATGAGAGTTGGTATAACATTTGTTTATATTGAATGCTGAACTAAAATGAGAGTTCAGTTTCCTGTTTTTTAAAAAGTTCATTTTTTCCGTACAAAACCGAGTTGTTAGTCAATATGTTACAGTCCTCTAATGATTAAAAGGGCATATTTGATTTTAAACAAAAATAGCTTGAGTTGTTGAATTCATGCTTTCTGATTTTCTTTTTTAAATATAGAACTCTAGATGCTTATCATGCCATATTTTCTCTTTATGATGTTCTAATGTCAAACCCTCAAATATTGGCAACATTTCTAATTTTTCAGAAGATGTGATTTATTGAATATTGATGTTACTGTTTTTGGCTTTTTGCCTTATGGCGGTATTTTAAATTGGTTAGTGCCAGATTGGTGCAATTTATAACTAATTACCATTTCATGTTTGTGTCAAATATATATGTTTTGGATTCATATTTATAGTGGGGAAGAAGAACAAGGCACTTGCGATGAATGACAAGAAGAACAAGGCACTTGCGATCAAGGACAAATCTCGATCTTCTTGGTCGGCAAATTGCAGTGCACCTGCTAGGAATCTAAGTAAGAGTGATCCTGGTGTAGTTATTTTTGGATGCAAGCATCACACAATCGATGAATGTTATAACAGGCTGCTGTTTGGTTAGTTGGCTACCTTTTTCTGCATGCTTTTCTCTTTTTCTACTATATCTAGATTTTGATATATGCAGTTTAAGCTATTCAGACTTATTAAATGTTTTTCATATTTTTGAACAGGTATACCAGTTGCTCATTATTCATATGTAAAGAACGTCACTCCTGGTTTGCCATTATTCTTATTCAACTACTGTGATCGGAACCTTTATGGTATCTTTGAGGCTGTCAGCCCTGGACAAATGAATATCAATCGATATGGTTGGATGGAAGATGGTTCAAAGGACACACCATACCCTGCACAGCTATATGCATGTTACTATCACACTCTTTTTTTAACTTCTTTGAGGATTTGGGTATATAAAACTGTGAATCATATGCTTTCTTTGTGTCTAAGGTTCAGGTCCAAATCCAGATGCAGTGACAGCCCTTGTCTGAAGCTCAGTTTAAGCCAATGATTGCTGAGAACAACTATGGGTATAATCTTTTTTATTTTGAGCTGGACCGAGCTCAAACCCGCAACTTGATCTCCTTGTTTTCATCCTCACCGGTTGCTGGAAATACCTCTCTTTCCCAGAATACATTAAGATGTCGGACCACAACTATTACAAGTTAAGCCGGTGATGACATTAGGACCTCCGTTTCAGAGGCGTATGTTGGTCGTTCAGATCTGTCTAACATGCAATGGGGCTCATGGGACTTTCCTGGTTTAGACGGTGAAAGCCAGAATTTGGAAGCACCAGTGGGTGCGGATGCAGCTGGAAAGTACGAGCAGGAGCTTGTACACCAAAAACCAAGTGCTGAACGTTCATATTCTTCAGTCGTTAGTAACACGAGTGCTTCCCTTCCTCAGAAGAAGTGGAGCTCTCTATTCAAAACTTCAACCACTTTTGATACCTTAAAAGAAAATGAAGAGGATAGTACTCTAGCTTCAGAGTTAACAGCTCCTCATTCTGATCACAACATGGAATGGGTGTCTCCATGTGATGCACCTTATCCAGACACAGAAAACCAGCTTTTGGAAGCTCATGCAGATGAGTCGGTTGTAGAGAAACATGATAATGAACTTATAGGCTTGAAATCAGATTGTAAATATTCGTACACTTCTTCTCCTCTGACAGAAGCAACTGGTTCTGTTCCATCGGCCACTTCATTTGAAACTCTACCCTCTGCTGGTACAAGACAGGAAGAAGAATATCCTAAGAGGGTGGAATCAGATTTGAATCTTCTACATTCAGATGAGTCCAATATGGGATGGGAATCATTAGCTACACTTCATTTGGATGGAGAAAGCCAGACTTCCGATACAGAGTCTGTTATAGATAAGGTAACTAAAGTTGTTCCACATCCTTAGCTCCTTTTTTTTTTTTTTCTATCATTTAGAATCGGCTCTGTTTACCTTTTGCTTGAAATACTTGTGATCTATTATTGTAGTTGATTCAGCAAGGTGAAGCATTGAAGGCATCTCAACTGAAACAAATTCGGAAAATCAGCTCTCTGGAGCAGAAGCGGGTATGATCCCTCACTGTAATATTTTTTTGTTGTACTCTGCATTTTCCTACTATTGAATCCCACGATATTTCTCATTTTCTTCATATTTTTTTTTTTTTTTTAGTAATTGAAAATTGCAATGAAACTTTTGAAATGGTAGCAACTCAGGAGATTTTTGGTTTTTATCTATTTATTTTTTATTATCCATATTTTTTAGAAGATGAATATCTACCACCGGGCGGTGCTAGCCCTAATTGAGACCAAATGGGTGTTTAATTGCTTGGTTGGTTTTCTTAAGTGTTAATTAAAGGGCATGGTTTTACTTTTGTGGTAATTATATTATACTAACACGGCGAATTATGCTGCTTTGATTATATTTTCCGTTCCTTACTGTACATGTGTGGATAATGGGAATAATACTATCTGCATATATCCTGTAATAATTTGAAAGTAGGACAAAAAATCACCTAGTGTAGAGCAATTGTTATGGTGGGCTACTGACGGGAAATTCCATGGTCTGTGATTCGGACAAGAATCTGATTCACATGATCTCAATTGTTCAAACCAAAGGGTCTCTAGCTCAACGGTATGATCTCTCTCCTTTCTAAAGGGGGAGGTTGAGAGTTCTGTGTCCCCCTAGGGAGATGTTGTGGATAATGTGTGTGTGTCTGCTTTACCTTCCCAAAAAAAAAAATATTGATCTCAGTTGTTCGAGGAGACGAATTGAATATTCCCTAATACTGAGGCCAAATTTTGGATGTGGCAGGACAAGAATAAACTAGTCATTAACGAATTCTTATTGTTCTTTATAGAAAATAGAATGGTTTGGTAGCTTTGACATTGCTAAGTCACCTTAGCAGAAACTGACACCTAGATGAGCTTTTCAGGAAATTATTTTTTATTGTTACTAACTAAAGATTTAAACAAAAACTTATAATTGATTTTATTCTCTCTGAAGTCCCTCCATTTTTTACCCACCCCCAACAATCCCCCAGCTGACAGTAATATCATATTGTAAAAAGTCTGCATCAAGCTTTCTGCAGGTTTCACTTTTGAATCCTGTAATTTCCTCCGTGAATTAGGTCAACGAAACAGGTCTTCCTTTTATGTTTCGTTTGGTTGGAGGGATGGTAAAATGGATAGAAGGGAAAGGAGAAGGGATGGATGAGGCATCCCCAAGGAAGGGAATGTATCTCCCTCATTTTTTGTTTGGTTGGATCGATGGAATGAATAGTAAAAAGGATGGATGTAGTAGAGAAAGAGAGTTTTATATTGTTTTTACTAACATACCCTAATTACATAAAATTATAAAAATTATATATGCATTTCAAATTATGCAACAACAAGTTTAAAAATGGAATTTAGAAACTTGTTGGTTATTTTCCTGCTTTCTGTCTCCTTTTCACCTCAATTTTGGGGGGATAGAAAATTACAAAGGATGGATGAAGCATTCCTCCTTGCTTCCTCCCTTTCCTTCCCTTCTACCAAACATAAATAACTTCTTTTATTCCCCCTCTCATCCATCCCTCCTCAATCCTTCCTTCCAACCAAACATAGCATTAATCTAACAAGGTAATCAAGGCCTCCCCTCTCTAGAGCTTTGTCATATAAGCCAAAGAATGCAAATTGGAATGGTGCTCCAAATATCGTTCTACAACTTCACTGTATTTTTTACATTATAAAGCAAGTGATGTTTTTGCAATAGTTCCACAAATCATGACTATGGAAAACATTTATGTGGCATGATATGGTGCGACAGCCTGGTCTGTCAATTCTGGGGTTTGAATTCAAAGGAAACACGAGAGCTAAAAAAACTGAATTTCAGGTCTGTAATCACTCTACTACTTCTAGCACGTTCAGGTGAACAACAATGGTAATGTATTGAAATATTGGTGTTCTTTTGCTTAGGCCATTTGCTTTTACCCGGTGACTATGACTAACTTCAAATTCCTTGGACTGCATTATTCTTCATAAATTTTTCTTTAGAAGTGCAATGTTTTTAGATATCCAAGGCTGTATCACCACCTCTGGGTTTACACGCCATCTTTTGGTTTTTGTGCACTTTCAGTTGGTCTCCATCTTATGTTTGGCAATATGAGTTTTATCCACAATGTTTTTTACTCCTTATTGTCAATTTTCACAAACCATTTTCCCGAAAGTCTTTTACTCCTTACTGTCAATTTTAATAAACCATTTTCCGAAAATGTAATGCTTATAGATTTTAGTGGATTAATCTCCCCACCCACTGTGCTTTGAGTCTAAACACTGTTTTCCTAGTGACCAAGTTTCCAAATTGTCACCTGTTATCCCTCCCATAGAAAGTTATTCTGAAAATGTTTGTTTGGGCAGAAAAAACTCTCTAGAGGCATCATTTGCTGCCTCTGCAAATGTTTGTTTTGTTTGCACCTTTTTACTACTGCTTCCTGAATTGAGATTAACTTAAAATGGGTGCCCTGCAAACTCTAGGTATGCATTGAACATTATTACGGTACTGTAGCTGCTGGCACGCAAGGGTCAGATTCCCAAATGCCATCTTGGTTTACTAGCTCTCTTACTTCTCTCCGTGTCTATAACAAAAAATCACTAATGGATGGTAAGACGTAACAAATTCAATATATTACAAAAATTACTTAACTGAATACAAATACATTTGCTACCTGATTTGGAGGTAAAATTTTCTATGTTGGTGGAAGGGAATTTATAGCCAATAAACGACGTTGCACTTTGTAAAACAACATAGAGTTGAATGAAATTTTCTTTTAGTTTGACCTAATATGGTGTTTTTTTTTTTTTTTTTTTTTTTTTTTTTTTTTTTTTTTTTTTTTTTTTTTCTCAATTCTATGGCATGGTGTTCATGCTACCAATCACATTACTGATTTTTCTTGGTCTTCTTAGTGTCATTCTCCAAAAAAAGGGCCTTCAATTTACCTTTCTTACAGTTGCTTACAAGAATGAAATTAGGTTGTGTTTGAATCATGTTGGTCCAAGTTTGTGCTTTTATCTAATTATTCTTCTTTGTGACCTAATGAATTGAAACTGTTTTTCTGGCAATTCAGGTTAGATCAAACATAGAAATTCAACAATTGAAAAGCAGATGTAGCGCGTTGGAATCAGGGTCACTCTCTTCAAATTGGAATGCTGAGGAAGGAGCATCTTGGTAGGCATTTGATGGTTCTTTGGGTCCGATGAGATCTTTTGCGTCCATATATTACTCAGCATCTAAGCTCAATGAATGGTGAATTCTATGTATTTTGCTCGTATCGATAGTGATGATGTATGGTAGGGACTATGGACTTAGATCCTATTAAACTTTTTGTATATTTAGATCCAAGTGTACTAGATGCTATAGACTCTGGAAATTTTAATTGAATTAGAAGGAAAGTCGCTATTATCTAATATTGCGTGACATTTGTTATAAGCTGACACTTTTCTTTTAGAAGCATCCTAAATCGTAAATATTTTATTTTTTTGGTTGAAAGACATGGACTCCATAAGGAAATGTTTTTGACACTTGCTGGCAGGGTAATTTTGTAATTATATATAAAAAAAAGTGAAATTCAATAAAATTTAAAATATATTATAAGTTAATTAGAAATATAATACTCTCTCTATTCCAATCTAATTACTAAATATATTGAGAACCGTGATTTACATTAGTTCCCAAAAATAGGACATTTATTTTGGTACAGATGGAGTATATTATAAGTTAATTGGAAATATAATAAGAAATTTTAAAAAATAAAAATAACAAACATTGTAAAATTAGTGATTTATTTATGATCCTATAAATAAAATGATAAAAACAATATTATATATATATATATTATACGGAGTATATTTTTTTGATGCTGTCCGTATCATTCCTCTAACTGTGCTCCCTAGATCCACATACATTCTATTCTTAAAAATTGGTTGGGCTAAAAACGTGCAGTCCTTGGGCCTAAAAAAGACCGATAGGATCAAAACGCAGAATGTTGATTTTGATTTCTGGAACCAAGTTATGGAAAGATAATGTCCAACACTCGGAACAGTTTTGCAACTTTTACCTGTGGAAAAAGTTACACTTGTTTATTGAAATTTAAGATTGACCATCTTCACATACCCCAATCCATCTGTATCACAAGATTGAATATCTCCAGCAACAGTTTTAGATTGTCCATCGTCAACACTCAAATTTTCAACTTTTTGGAAGGTGCAGAAATAGACCCTCAATTACTTGACCGACTGGTATAACCTCTTCTCCTTCAAAGGAAGAGATGAGGGGTTCGAACCCCATAGTGTACATTTGGGTGGGTGGCACAGCTACTGCTTTCAAAGAGTAGCATTTCACATGAACCGTATTTGCTTTCACCCTCTCTTGCCCATTCAACATAACCAAGTCACACCCAGAAAAACATAACAAGCCGGACCCCTTCATAGTAAGGACTCCGAATCTCTTTCAATCAAAAGGCAGGGTCAGGAAAGCCCAGTTGAAATTGGCAAAATAATGGAGGCCTTTATCATACATTTAGGCATAGCTAGAAATCTTGGCTATAAACAAATTGTACTTTCAATATTGGCGATATGTTCCTAGCTGAATGCTTTAGCAATGAGCTTGTATTGCTTGTTTTTCTGTACTTGAACATGTGCTAGCAGTTGACTGAATCTCATTGACAAGTTTATGTGAGATATATATTTTGGGAAGATTGTAAAAAATATATATTCTGGAATTGGTCGGTGTCAAAAAAAGTCCTAGTCGAGTTATAAATTCAAGTTACTATATTGGGATCGACAGCGATTGCGGAATTGGAAGGTTCTTCAAAGTTACCATGAATGAAAAAGATAAAAACAACACTTTAGGAATGAATCTAAAAAGGTTAGGACACATTTCATACTTAGTATAGTTTCAAAATTTTGACTCGCGAAACCCGGCTAACCCGCCCAAAATATTGATATTTAAAAAATAAAATTTTCTTAAAATTTAAAAATATGGAAAAGGAAAATGTAATTTGTAAAAAAAATAATAATAATAATAAAAAAAAAATTTT